GTTTTCTTTTCTTTTTGGTACCGGGGATCGAGCTTGGGTCCTTGGGCTTGCGAGGCGGAGGCGGAACCACTGAGCTAAACCCTTGGCCTGGGGATACACTTCTTAAAGGCTTTTGATAAAAACTGTTTTGCCAAAATGTCATACCTTTCATTTTTTCAAAACCATTTATTGCATGCAAACTATGTGAAAGGCACTGACTGTCCTAGGTACCAGGGACACAGCAGTGAGCAATAAAGAAAATATTCCTTGCCTAAATGAGAGCTTAAATTTTAGTGTAGATGTGTTAGGGTCCAGTGAGGAAAATAAAACAAAACAAACAGGAGCTGGGTGTGGTGGTGTACAACTATAATCCCAGCACCGTGGGAGGCTGAGGCAGTAGGCTAGAAAGTTCCATGCCTAAGTCCTATTGAGAAAATGTAACCATGGAAATGGATAGGAAATGTAAGCACAAGTGTACAGCTATGAATATGTGAGCATATAATTATAAATACAGTAATCAGGAAAGGCTTCATTGAGAAAATAACATTTGAAAAACACTCCAGGAAGTGAGAAAATGACTATGTGAGAGGAAAAAGCCTTTGAATATAGGAAATGGTAAATAGAAAGGCTCCAAGGGTGAAGGGAACAAAGAAGAAAAAAAGATGAGATAAAAAAAAAATAACAGGGGCCAGACAGCAAAGAGGTTTCTAGGTTGTGGTAAGAAGGATTAGATGAGTAACACAGTCATTAGAAGATTTAAGTGACATGCTCGGATTCTTTTTATTTTAAAGGTTCACTGTGCTATTATATTGAGATTGGCTGGGGGCGGTGGAGAGTGTAAGCAAAAGATCAGTGATTAGCAACCTATTATAACAATTCTGGCAAGAAATAACGATGACTCAACCAGGGCAGCAGGAGCACAAATGATGAGAAACAGATAGCTTTTAAAGAGAGAAGTGACAGAGTTTTTTTTCGCAGTCCCAGTGATGCAAATTGAACCCAGGGCCTTGCATATGCTAGGTATGTGCTCTACAATGAAACTACATCCCTATCCCCTTTTTATTTTGTATTTTGAGACAGGGTCTCACTCAGCTGCTCAGGTTGGCGTTGAACTTTTGATCTTGCCTCAGCCTCCACAGTAGCAATAATAATAGGCATATGCTGCCTGTAACGGTTTGATGCTATATAGTCTGATGCTATTTGCTGGACAAATCAGATGTGGGGTTTGAGAGAAAGGGAAGTCAGGATGATACCAAGGATTCTAGCCTAAAAAAAAGGAAGGATGAAAATGCCATTAAGGAAAATGAGGACAGTTGTGTGAGGAGCAGGCTTATGGGGAAGATTAGAAGTTTCCACTGGAAATAGTACTTTGAGATGCCCGGTAGATACATAAATGAGGATGTCTAGCAGACAGATAAAGTATTAGAATTAGGGGTTCAAAGGAGAGGTCAGAGCTAGAGACATAATCTTAGGAGTCATCAATGGACAGGTAATTTTAAGACATGAGACTGGATCAAGCATCCCTGTGGATAGAAGAGAAGGGACCCAAAATACTCTGAGACACTCCACAGTTAAAAGTTAAAAGCAGCTACAGACACTGAAAAAGAGCTGTCAGTGAGGTAGGGAGGAACCCAGAAGAGGGCACCGTCTTTAAAGCTAAGTGAAGAATTAATGACTGTGTTGAATGCTGCCAACTAGTCAAGTAAGATGAAAATGGAGAGCTAGCCATTGAGTTTACTAACTTGAGGTTATTGTTGACCCTGTCAAGGGCAATTTCAATAAACCAGATTGAAAAGCGAATAGGGGAGGAAGATATTAAGAAGCTTAAATGCTATATTGACAAAGCTGAAATGGTGCACACACCGAAGTGCAGCTCTTCAGGAGACTGAGGCGAAAGGATCACAAACTCAAAGCCAGCCTGGGCAGCATAGCAACATAGCAAGAACCTGTACCAAATAAAATAAAAACGAAAGGGATGTATCTCAGTGGTAGAACTCTTGCCTAGTGCAACAACCTGAGTTCAATCCCCAGTACTGCAAATAAATAAACAACTAGAAGGTGAATATGGAGCAGTAGCTTGGGTGGGGAGGAATAAGATCAAGAATGAGCTTTTTAAAAAAGAATAGAATAATATCTCGGATGTGATGATGCATGCCTATAATCCCAGTACTCAGGGGACTGATACAAGAGGATTGTGAGTTTAAGGATGGCCTGAACTGCACAGCAAGTTAAAGGACAGCCTGGACTATATAGTGAGAGGCTGTTTCAAAAAAAGAAAAAAAAAAGACCAGTTGTGCTGTCACATGCCTGTAATCTAACACTCTAGGAGGCTGAGGCAGGAGGATCACAAGTTCAAGCTCTAATAGGGCAATCTGGAAACTTAAGACACTGTCTCCAAAGAAACACAAAAAAGGCTGGGGAAATAGCTAAGCGAGAAGGCCATGGGTGTAACCCCCAGTACCATAAAAACAAATGAATAATAAAAAGAAAATTATGCATGCTTATACATTTGATGAAAAAGTCAAAGAACAGGAAAAATGGATGATGTAGGAGAAAGGTGAAGACTTGCTTCAATTGGCAGAGGATACTGGAGGGGTTGGCCTTTCATAGGAACACAGATAAGTCATCTACAATTAATAGCAGGCAGGCAGAGTATGTGGGTTCACAGATACACGTAGGTGGGGTCTGGGAGCTAATGGAAACTCTCTATGTACTGCTTCCATTCTAACACGAAGTAAGGTCATATACTATGGGTGAGCAAATGAGAAGGAAGAATTAGAGGCTGGAAGAAAGAGGGGGAGGTATCAAATAATCATCTAGAAAAGCAAAAGAGGGAATGAAATATAATACAATCACCAACTTACAATACCACTAAAGGTGTAGGATAGTATTGGTTTTGCCATAGACTTGATAGCAATAGATAAATATTTCAATATTACTAAACAGTTAATTTAAAAAATCATACTGCTCATTTTATTTACATGCATGATCACTGGTGAGGCTATGTAGTCATACTATTGGTAGCTATATTTCTTCTTTTGTGAATTTTCTGATTCTGTCCTTTGCTTATTATTTCATTATTGGGGCATTAGTATTTCTCTTCAGATGTTTGTGTCGATTCCTACAATATAAAAATAATTATTACAACTAAGTTTCATGTGTGTGAAATATTTTGAATCCAATGAATGATTCCATCAATCTCCAGTGAGAACCTGATGTCCCCTAATCTGTACAGGAAGGAAGTAGGGGCACATTACCTTAAGTGATGCAAGAGGATGTTCTGGTCCTAAAAGACTCCAGTGAAAAGCAGCCAGATCCTCATCTGGAAGAATGTGGTTACCTACAAAGTATATTTGTCATTTATTGACTGTATAGACATTGTCTTAGAAACTCCAGGCCATAAAAACAGTCCTGGTAGAGAAAATGACCAAATAATTCACATAGGTCTATATTCTTAGTATAATAATTACAGCAGCTGCGTGCTGATTACCTATGATGTATCATATACATTACATGTATCATCTTTATAATGATCATGTACAATACTATTATCTCCATTTTACAGTTAAGAAAATTGAGGTTGAGACAAGTTTTGTGACTTGAACCAAGATAGGCCTACACCAGGTTAAAAAGCTAGGACTGTCTGACTCTGAAGCCCATGCTATTTATTACCTTATCATCTAGTCATGCTGCCTTTTATAAGGAAAACTACCAAATTACTGATTTCATAATAAATGCTGAATATTTTATATATCTCATTTCATTTAACTTCATCAATAATATGAGGTATTATTATTCCTATTTTATAAATGGGCAATCTGAAATTGGCAAAGTTTGACTTCAGTGATTTACACAGGACCGAATTCTAAAACCTGCGCAGATTCTATTAGATTATCAAATTCTTGTCCTTCGGAATTTATAGAGCAGAGGTCATATCTGAGACAGAAATTAATGTCCATGCTGTCAGTACTTGGAAAACCAATTTAAAATATAATGAACCATCTATATTTACTTTGAAATAGATCTTAAAACGTAAATGCATGGATAGAGGAATGGATAGATATTTGATAAAGCAAGTATATATAATGTTAACAGCAGAATACAGGTGGTGAATAAAGGGGTTTTACTGCAAAATTATTTTAATTTTACTACATGTTGGGAATTTTTAATAATAGTAGCACAAAGGAAACAAGGAGAAAAAATGTAATGAATAATTTGTACTTCTGATCTAATTTTAGACACTGGGGAAGAAATGCGAATGGTCTGAATAAGAAACCAAAGCTGTCCAGGAATAGTGAAACTTTTGGCCTAAGGTATACTCTGCATATAATAGTTATAAAATGTAATAAAAGAAAAAGTTTTATACCCAAGGGTGGTGGCATACGCATGACACCCCCAGCACTTGGGAGTGTGAGGCAGGAGGATCATCCCAAGTTCGAGGCTATTCTGGGTTACCTAGAGAATTCAAGGCCAGCCTGATCTACATAGTAAGGCCCTGTCACAAAAAAATACAACAATAAAAAAAAGTTTTATAAGAATCAAAATGATGTTCTGGAATACCCTGCAATGATCTCTAAGACAAACATGCTGAGTTTTAGAATGGTCTTCTAAGAAGCCCAAACCCCTGCTGGGTTTTCTACAGCAGTTTTTGGTATGAGGACTTTAAAAAGATAATGACAGGCTAAATCACTCTAGTCTTCATCCCTTAACAACAGAAGAGGAAACTTTATTAATCACTGGCTTCTCTCCTTTGAAGTACCTACCTAACAGTGCAGCAAATATGGGAAAATTCATGCGCTTCAGGCCCAGTTGCTTGGCCACCTCCTGCATCAGGAATTGGTTGGTAGTAAGATTCTTCCCATTCCAGCTCAACTTCAGAGCATGGGAACTGTAGTAAGAGGGAATATTGTAGAGAGCATACTCGGAGTCATGGGCAAGAAGGCCGTGGAAACCATTTTCTCTGAAAAAAGCCACCACTTCCAAATGATGATCTTCAAGGCTCTGAAAGACCTAGGAGAGAAGACAACATGTCATTCCACAGAAACAGATCTGCATTCCGTTAGAAGTCAGGAAGGTTACTAACTACACTTTATAACTGGTGAAATTTAAGATGACATGTGATCAATAGGACTCCTATAAACAAAAACGAACAAAACAAAAGCCACCCCTCAGCCTAGAACTTGATTATTCCTGTAAATGTAGAATTATTTTTAACTTTGTATTTTTTATTAGTATGTATTTGTCATACATATTGATCACACTCATCATAGGGAATTCATACCTGTATCTTTTTTCCACATTCCCCTATTTTCAAAAGCTTTTTGTTTTTTTCCCCTTCCTTCCCTTATCCTTCTCCCTCCCTTGTTCCCCTTCCCATTTGAACAAGTTCTTCCTACTTCCTAATATCTATCCTCCATTTTGCTTCTTATTTACCCTTTGGGTTTCTCATACAAGATAATGCAATATTTAAACTTCTGTGTCTGATTTCACTTAAGATGATGGCCTCAAGGTGTATCCATTTTCCTACAAATGACTCCAGTTTACCCTTAGTTATGGCAGAGTAATAATCCATTGTATATAAATACATTTTCTTTATCCATTCATCTGCTGATGGGCATATGGGCTGTTTCTAAGATTTAGCTATTATAAATTGTGCTGCTATAAACATGGGTATGCATATCACTGTGGTATGGTGCTTTTAATTTTTCTGATAAAATACCAAGAACAGGTATAGCTGGATCAAATGTAACCTCTAGTTTTAGTTTTTTGAGGAATCTCCACACTGATTTCCACAGTGGTTGCACCAGTCTACACTCCCACCAACAGTAGAGAAGGGTACCTTCCCCCCACCAACACCAGCCCTGCCAGCATTTGATATTGGTTAGTTTCTTTCTGGAGTGAGATGGAATCTTAGTGATTCTTTTCCCCTGCTACTGGGAAACAAACTCAGGGCCCTGCACTTCCTAGGCAGGCACAGTGCCACTGAGCTAAATCCCCAGCCCTCAGGGTTGTTTTAATTTGCATTTCTTGAATGTCCAGTGATGTTGAGCATCTTTTCATATATTTATTTGCCATTTCTGCTTTTTCATCTGAGAAGCATCTGTTCATTTCACATGCCCATTTTTGGATTAGGTTTTTAAATCTGGGGAGAATCTAATTTTTTTGAGTTCATACATTCTAGATGCTAGTCCTTTGTCTGAGAAGTGAATGGTAAAAATTTATTTTTCCCATTCTGTGGGTTGTCTTTTCACTTTGTTAGTGGTTTCCTTTGCTGTGCAAAAGCTTTTTTTCTGGTACCGGGAATCAAACTTGGGACCTTGCGCTAGCAGGACAGACAGCAGCACCACTAAGCTAAATCCCCAGCCGTGGGCAAAGCTTTTTTAATTTGATGTGAACCCAGTTGTTGAATTCAGAACTATTTTCTGTGTATGAATTCACACAATTGCCTAGGTTTTCTTCACTCCTTTTATGAAATTTGATGTGAGCCTATAATTTCAGTTTTCAGTAGGCTTTGACAGGAATATTACCACAAGTTTGAGGTCAACCAAGGATACACAGTAAGTTCAATGCCAGCCTGAACTAACTAGCAACACCCTGTCTCAAAAAAACCAAACTAAAAACAAACCAGAATGACAAAATTAATACAATACATATTACTTAAGTGTCAAAGAAGAGACCTTCATTAGAAAAATAATAAAGCTATTATTTATTGTTAACCTGTAGTATATGTCACACATGATCTACATACATAATGAGGTACACAGACATGGAAATAGCTGGTTAATTCAGCTAACTTTTTTTAAGTTCTTGCTTTACAAGACCATGTCTCAAAGAGAGCCCCCCCTCCGCCCCACAGGAGCATTTTGTATCACAGGGTACCTATATGGTATACTTTCAACAGATAGATGTCAGAAACTTTACCCCATTTCAGAATGAGGAAAGTAAGGCTACAAGAGGTTGATTGCTCCCAAAGTTGCATAATGAGCAAATGGTAGATAGAATAAAACCCAGGCTGAATTGACTCAGGAATATACACTTTATATCATACCATGCTCTTTCCTAGAGAGCACAATTTTTTCTTTCTGTGAAACAGAGACAGACTGTTAAGTACCATTCCTATATATACCTCTATTGGTACACATGAAGACTACCAAAGTTATCTGTATACTGGTCCCCCAAGACTAAGTTCCTTTTTAAAAAAACTTTTTTAACAGCTAGTCTAATAGCATAGGTACACTGGATAAAGAGGTGACTCACATCCGAAGCAGGATGGTGTGAAAATTCATCACAAAACCAAAAATATTGCATTATTTTTAATTTATGAATTATTTCTAGAGTTTTCTACTTAATATTTTTGGACCACAGGTTAACATAGGTACCTGAAACCACAGAAAGTAAAACCATGGAAGGCCAGGCATGGCGGCACATGCCTGTAATCCCAGCACTCGAGAGGCTGAGGTAGGATTGCCATGAGTTCAAGGCCAGCCTGAGCTACACAGTGAGTTTAAAGCTATCCTGAACTATAGAGTAAGACCCTGTCTCAACAAAACAAAACAAAATAACAAGAAAAAAGAAAGTAAAACCATAAAGAGGGTAACTACTATATCTCCTTTTCTTTTTAAAATTATTATTACTTTTCCTTTAGGAGACAAAGTCTCACTATGTAGTTCAGGCTAGCCTTCAACTCACTATGTAGTCCAGGCTGGCCTTGAACTCATGGTGATCCTCCCACCTCAGCCTCTTGAGTGCTGGGTTATAGGCATGTACCACCACGCCTGGCATGTATCACCTTTTAAAGACAATGGATAAAACAATAAGGCTCACAGGTCAAAGAGCTTGACCAAAGGCTCAAAACTAAAATGTGAAGTTGGTCAATAAAGACACAAAAATATATTTAACATCATTAGTCTTTAGAGAAATGCCTATCAAAGCCATGAGAAACCACATAACACCCACTAGCTACATGTGAAGAAATTTTCATTATGGAAATTTTTTAAACATACATAGTGCATAATTTAATGAGCTTCAACAACAGAATTATACAGTTTCAACTGTTATCAACATTAAACCATTCTTGTTTCATCTATCTTGTCCCCCTTCTTACATTTTTATTGATTTTTAAAACCACAAAAAATGTACCATTGTATTTTGTTTCTATGAATTTGACTTCACATAGTTTATAAAATGAAATTTTATAGTGTTGGTCCTTTGTGACTAGCTTATTTCACTTAGTATAATATCCTCTAGATTTATTCATGTTGTAGCACCTAACAAGATTTTTTACTTTCTGATTTTGCTTTTTGTGATACTGGGCATGGAACCCAGGACCTTCACACTGAGGTATATTCCCCAGCCCTTTTTATTTTTTTGAGACAGGGTCTGGCTAAATTGCTAGGTTGCCTAGGCTGGACTCCCAATTTGTAATCTTCTTGCTTCAGCCCCACAGGGTTCTGGGATTATAGGTATGTCACCATATCTGGCTGATTTCTTCCTTTTTCGTTCTTTTCTTTTCTTTTCTTTTTTTTTTTTGTACCAGGGATAGAACTCAGGACATTGCCCTTGCAAGGCGAATTTCTTCCATTTTTAAAGTTGAATAATATTCTACTGTGAGATTGTACCACATTTTGATTATCCATTCATTTACTGATGGACATATGCGTTGCTTTCAACTCTCGGCTATTGTGAATGATATTGTTATAAACATGAGTATAGAGATATTTCTCTGAAATTTTCCTTTCAGTTCCTTTAAACACATATTCCTGAAGTGGAACTGTTGAATCATGCTATTTCTACTGTCTCCAATAGTGGCTGCAACATTTTATAATCACACCAACAGCACAGAAGTGTTACAATTTTCCCCTATCTTGACAACATTTCAATATTTAGTTTTTTTTTTAGAGTAACTATTCTACTGGGTAGGAAGCTCACTATAGTTTTGATTTCCATTTTTTCTGAGAATTAGTGATCTTGAGCATCTTTTCATATACTTATTAGTCATTTCTGGCATATTTTTAAAGCAAACTCCAGACATCAAATTACTCATACATCATTATTTACCTCTCAATAAGGACTTTTTTTTCCAGTACTAGGGATCAAACTTAGTACTTTGCACTTGCCAGGCAGGAGCTGACACCACTGAGCTACATCCCGGGCCTTCAAGGACTTTAAAGTTAACATAAGCACAATACCATTATTACACTCAATAAAATTAACAAATTTTTTTTGTGTGTGGATGGTAGCAGAAATGGAACCCAGGACCTTGTAGCAGACTGGGCAAGCTCTCTAGCACTAAGTTACCTTATACGAGCCTTTTAAATTTTATTTTGAGGTAAGATCTTGATAAGTTGCTCAGGCTGGCCTTGAACTTGTAATCCTCCTGCCTTAACCTCCCAAGTATCTGGAATTATGGATATATACCATGATGGTTGGCAACAACAGCTTAATAGTATACTATGCAGTCCAAATTTAATTTTCCATGACCGTTCCAAAAATGTCTTTGATAGTAGGTTCATTCAAATCAAGGTCTACATATTGTTCATATGATGCATGTGGCTGATATAACTTCCAAGCATCTTAATTTATACTAGGTTCCCCTCCTGTTGCACCATTTATTTGTTTTTAAAATCTTATTTTTTTTTCTTTTTCTTTTTTCTCTGGTTTTCTGAGACAGGGTCTTGGCTAAGTAGTCAAGCTGGCCTCCAGCTCATGGCAATCCCCCCTCAGCCTCCTGAACGCTGGAATTGTAGGTGTGTACCACCACGCTCAACTAAATTTTTCAATTACCAAAATAATACAGATTATTTAACAAAGGGTGTGGGGATAACTGGAGAATCATTTGAGGAAAAAGGATCTATATCTCACACTTCAATCAGAACAACCATAAAAATAATAGAAGACATCATATATTGTAATCACAAAGTAGGGAATGTTTTTAAGTAGTCACATGTCATACAATTTTTCAACCAATGACAGATCACATATGTAAGGGTGGCCCCATAAGGTTATAATGA